TTGCTTTTTGTCACCTGAATGTTATAGCATTCAAATATTTTACTTATTCTCTAACATTATTCTATTTGATCTAATTTATTGGTGATGTTTTCAACTATTGTTTTCATTTTTGGGATTTTAATTTACTTTTACTTTATGTGTATGGGTATTTTATCTGCATGTATGTCTGTGTGCCATGTGCATATATGGTCACTTGAAGACAGAAGAAGGTTTCAGATTACCTGAAGCTGGGGTTACAGGTCTTTGTTAGTCACAGTGTCAGCGTTGGGAACTGAACCTGAATTATCAGGAAGAGAAGATGGTGCCCTTAGCAACTGAGGCAATGCTCCAGACCCTCTACTGTATTTTTCTTTTGATTTATCAAGCCTTTAGAGACCAGACAAGGGGTGTAGTTCAATGAATAGGAACACTTGCTGTTTTTGCAAAGGACTTGAGTTCAGTTCCTAGTGTACATATTGGGCAGATCACAGCTGCCAGTAATCCCAGATCCAAGGGACCTAACTCCAACTTCTGGACTCAGTGGGTATCAGGCATGCCTACGTTGTCCATATACACATGTAGAAACTTATTCATATGCATACTACCAAAATCAAAATTAATCTTGTTCTTTTTAACATTTCAATATGGCCTAAGATTTCTATTTAGAGTTTGTGCTTTTAGAATCTCCTTTTCATCACCAACTTTATCATTTGTATAGCTAGCTTTGTTGTTCACATTTTGAATTGTGTTCTTTAATGAATTTATCTGCTTTTTAAATGGTAGTTTTTAAATGGTTTTAAAAACTAAACTTTTAGGTCTTTAATTGACTATCCAAAAATTTCAGTATCTTCAGATTCAGATCTTGAAGAGTTGTGATTTTTTAAAGGAGTCTTATTTCCCTGAATTCCATGTTTCTAACATTTACAGGTTGGGGATTGTTCATTTATTAGGACAAATATCACTGTTGGGTTATTTGGAGACTGCCTCTTGATAGCTTATTACCCAGTATTACTCAGAGAGGAGACAAAATACCTTACATTGTAGGAGGAATACCAGCCTAGATGACATAGAGAAATACAATGAAAATACACTACACATCTACTAGAACAACAGTATCCAGATAAATGAAAGTCTCAAAATAATTATATAATAAACTATGAAGCTAAAATTTAAGGTAAAATCAACAATTATAATTGAATTAAAATTAGAATGTGCCCTGGCTAATTTTATGTTAATTTGACATAGGCTAGAGTCATCAGAGAGGTGGCAGCTTCAGTTTGGAAGGCTTCTGTAATATCAAGCTGTAGGCAAGCCTCTAGGGCATTTTCTCAATTAGTGATTTGCGGGGGAGCATGCAGCCCAAGGTGGATTGTGTCAGTAATCAGTTGGTGGTCCTGGATTCTATAAGAAAACTTTTAGAGTAAGTCTTGTGGAGCAAGCCTGAAAGCAGCTGCTCTCCATCAGATCCTGCCTTCAGGTTCCTGCTCTGTTGGTGTTCTTGTTCTGACTTCCTTCAGTGAAGAACAATGACATGGAAGTACAAGTGTAAGCCAAACAAACTCTTTCCTCTACAAGTTGCTTTGGTCATGGTGTTTCATCAAAGCAATAGCTACCCTAAGATAGGAGGAAAAGGTAAGGAAAGAGACAGAGGATTGAAATGAATATGTGGACAACAGAAACAAAAAGGAGCAAGTGATAGACAACTATACAACAAAGAATTTTAAATAAATAAAACTACATGAAGTTAATAGTGAAAATTTGTGCATCTAAACATATTTTAAAAACTGAAACAACCTATATACAATACAAGTATATGAAAAATAAAGCAAAAGGAACAGTAAAGAAAGAAGTGAAAAAATCTCTTAAAAATATAACAGAGTTGAAGAGATGCATATGGCTTCTAATATTAGAATCTGCCAAGTTCAGAGGGTATTTCACAAAAGCTGGGGACTTCTGTCATTCCTAAAATTTGGGGTAGTGAAATATATGGACTAAGGTCAGGTCAAGGGTAAATTGTCTACCTTGAAGACACATCAATTTCAAAATGTTCCATTATTTGCATACTTGGAGCCATTGATCACAGCTATAAATTTTGCATGCCAAACAGATTCACGCTCATTCCAGGCTGAGTGGTCCTTTTGAGTGTATTGGCGATAGGAGGAGGTCAAGAGAGAGCACTGAGATCTATACTGCATGGAAAAATCAAGGGAACATATCAACTGATTCTAGGATCCCACCTAGTAGTAAATCAGCCTGAGGGAAGATGGAGGCTTTAGAATATGAAATATCCTTGGGTGTGGGCCGAATACTCATAGTTCCATATACAGCAAACCACATGCAATAGGAGGCAGTCTGGAGTCCATGCTACTCATAGCTCAGGGCTATCAGTTTACACTTTTATATTCAGGAGATCGTGTTTGCTCCTCACCATAAAAGATGGGACCATGAAATAATGTGCCCTATACTGCCTGAACTTCTCAGTGTATCCATGATTTCTTGCCCAAACCTCTCCATTTTATTACCACCTCTTGTAACTAGCTTATCTTTCTGTGGAAAGCAGTCTCCAAGCTCCCTGATTTATGACTGCTAATTTTACTTAGTTCCCCCGAGAAGCTCAGTATCAAGGAATAAGCCACTTCTCAAGATGATAATTGGGTAAAATATACATATTGTAACATTGAATGCTAAAATGGATTCTTTTCTTGAACACTCACCTGATCCATAGGAAGTATCACAGTCTTAAATTTCCCCATTTGACTTAAGACTCGAAAAACTGTGGTTTTATCTGTTCTTCCTAGAGATGAATGACTTAACTTGTGGCTTCAGTTTCTCTTTTCCTCTGGAGATCTGAAAGATAAGTCGTGGGCAGTTTTCTGCTTTGTACTATGCATGCTTTGTGTTTCACTGCTCTATTACCTCTTTAATGACATGGGAAACTCTTCCTCACTTTCTCATTTCAGAATAAATTATTTCTGTTGTCACCTTGATTTTTCTCATTCACAGATTCATCTGGTAGCAGTTTCTAATCTGTCATCTCACACACAGACATTACCTATTTATTATGCATCTCTCTCCCTCTTTGTGTGTGTGTACATATGTTCTCTCCATAGTCTAAGTCTTAATTTCCTAGCAATTTTGGAAGAAACAGTGAAACATTCCTGAGATAAATTATATATTTCTGTGACTAAATCTGCCATATAATATAGCAATTTCAGAGACTCAAGAGTGTTGCTTGGCTTTCTTTTCAGTAGGCCATAACTAAGGTCATAAAGGTCATGTTACAATTAGGATGTCTATTCACAGATTCATATTTCTTATAGATTGTATCAGAGTCATATATATATATATATATGTGCATATATATGTGTGTTTGTGTCTTCTTTCTTTCTCTTGCTCTCTCTTTCTCTTACTGTCTCTCCTCTCTCTCCCTCTCACTCCTTTGTAAAGCACTGGGCAGTGCACCCAGACTTCAAAATGCTAGGTAAATGCTTTATCAAAGAACTGCACCCCAGCCTTTCTTAAAATTTTACTTTGAGATAGTGTTTCACTAATTTGGACAGATTGTACTCACTCTACACACAAGGCTTAAAATTCTAATCCACCTGCCTAAACATCCTAGGTAGCTGAGATTATGGGCCTGCATCACCAGGCTTCAATATGTTTTATTTATACAATTGATATTTCAAAAAATTTCTTGAAGAGTTACTATATGAGGATCAAAAAATTAATTGTGCCTATAAGTCAAAAGATAAAAATTGCAGACTTTAGCAGTGAAACGATATTTTAAAGTTTGTATAGAGCCGCTATTTCCACAATAGTCCAAATAGGAAATAGCCATCTTATATGTAATCAGGATAAATACTTTGCAGTTGATTCAGACAATGGGCATCACTAAACAATAAAAAGGAATAAATTGATACATGTAGCATCACAGAAGTAATTTCAAATGCATTATGAGGTACACATAATGTAAATGAAACCAAAATTGCTGCAGTTACAAATGAAACATTTTGATTCTGGCAACTTTAAAATGCTTCAAAAATAGGATGATGAAGGCAAAATGTGTGACAAAATATATCCAGCAAAATGTTAAGTGCAACATATATAGAATGGAGATTAATGATTGTTCAGTATCATTTCAAGTTTTATTTTGTAATTGAAAGTTTTCATAATAATTTTTTAGGCTGACCTCATAATAATCAATGTTTTGAAACAGTATTTTAAATATTTATTGCAGATTCTTCTTCAGGTGGTTAACAATCATATTTTTACTATTACTACACTAGAAAGATGGAATATATTTCAATGGTTTATGTGACAAGGCCCTCTCATTTCTGATGTATGCAATGTTTCTATGTCTCAAATAACCTTAGTCTTAAACTTATTGGCAGACTGTGAAATAATTCTTCCTGCTGAGTTTTGGCACAATCAGCCAGAATCTTAGGAACAGATGAATCAAAGTGATTTGAGCACATGATGATTTTAGTGAATGATTCTGACTGTTGATATATCATAGATGTAAATGCATGCTGTCCCCATCCATTGTTGAGTACAGACAGAATTGAATAGATCAATTTCAATGAATATTACTGAAAATTTAAAAATCCACCCCTTAGTGTTTCTAATTGCTTTAGATTTATATTTTCCTCCCCCTTTTCAGTATATGTCTACTTAGGCCAACCTTACATAGTATTGGCTCACCAAGCCTATAGAAAAGTAATTAGATCATATTTCAAATTCTTTCCAGAAGTGATTTTGTAAATATACAGAAAACAATAGAAAGTTGCAAGAAGAGCTATTTTTGTTTTATGACTTGTGAAAGAAGCTCAGAAATATCTCCATAGCTGAAAAATGAATTCCCAAATGGACTATTTTATTTTAATGCACAATAAATTTTTCTGTAAAAGATGTTAATTATGTATATTGAGCATGTTAAATTTTATGATACCAAATATGCCATATATGAAAATAATTTCCATTGCAAATAGGATATGTTATCTGGATATTGTTTATCTGATCAGGGTATTGACCCCGAGGAAGACTTGGAAGAACTTGAAGATAGCTGGCTTGAGACCCTCTAATGTCTGTCTCCTCAACACTGGAATTACAGGAACATACTGCTGTGACTGTTCTCATATGAGTGCTACAGCTCATACTCAAGACTTCATGTTTGTGTACTGAGCTTTCTCTGCATCCCCAGATATTTTATGCAAGGTATATTATGCTTGTTCTTCGAATTAGCAACAAATAAAAGTATAAAGCTAACCAGTATCACATCATCCTAATTATTAGGAAGAAAATTTATTTACAGTATACATTTACAAAAGATGCAGATTCTCTTGGTAGCCCCTAAATTACTGCATATGGTTTCTTATTCCAGAGGTATCAATAGAAACAATTGAGAGTTTTTGATTAAACAACTTGAAAGGATTGGGATTATTATATTGGAAACTGATTCTTTAACAACAAGAAACTGATTCTTTAACAACAAGAAACTAGATAAAGAATGTCATTCAGTTAGTGTCACTTTTTTTGTAGGAATTTCACTCCTACAAAAATTAACAGTATTACAAGACAAAAATAGTTCTACATCCAAAATATATTTTTTTTGTTTTGGACACTAGGAAAGATGGCCACCTTTTTTCTACTTCTGCATTTTTGAATTGTTTCTGTGTTACAACTTTCTTATTAATATATCACTAATAAAGAAATGGAAGAGAAATTTATAGTTTTATTTCCTCACAAGGTAACTATTGGAGAGAATTCACTTTAACCAAAGAAAATAAACAAGTCTTAAGTTTTAGTTTAGTTTATTCAGTGTACAAACTTTCTGTGTCTCTTATGAAATATTATTATATTTTATTTCTCTTAGAAAAAACACTTGTCATATAATATTTTCTGATTCTTTCAAGAAAAATAGTCAGAATACACTTGTTTCAGGCTTTGTAGTCTTAGTGATAATATCAGAGAATTCAATTTAAAGGTTTTTTTGTGATTTCATTTCAAGTCATGGTAAGCATCATGTTGAAGAATGTTGATATTGAAGATGACCACTGCTAAAAGTTCATCTTGAAAGAAGCAGCCATAATTTGACCTAATTATGGGTTCCCAAACCTTTGTAAAATCTTAGAAGTTTGCCTTGTCAGTTTGGCCTAACTGCAATTAGTTCCTTTTATTTGAGGTAAAATGTACTTAAAACCTGCACTTACAAGGGATGTAAAACAGTCAAAGAAGCATAACACTTAACCTCTATTCATCTAAAATATATATTCCTTTGCAGAGAGAGCCTGGACAGTGTCAAATGAAACAAGCAATTAGTTGCTTTCTAACCGTGAGCAGTTCAAACTGTAACATCATGCCAGACGTGATTAAGAATGATACAGCACATCATCATTGTCAACACTATTCAGCCAATGTAAACCTTAGTTAGAAATGTACTTGTCAGAGAAAAATGCGCCTTTGATTTCTATTGCACTTTCCCAGTAATTGCTGTCATCAGTGGCAGGTTATTATTACAGTTGAATAGAGTTTCAGTAATTACTTTTCCACAGATTCTAACAGCTTTTAGATTGAAGGATATTCTGACAGTTTGAATACTCTTGACAACAATTACCTTTTTCCTGGTTAACACTGATTCAGGAAAATTAAAAATTAAATCTGTTCAGAGGAAACACTTATGTATGTCACTAGTAAGTGCGTTGATATAAAAAATGTGTAAATTGCAGAATGACTTAGATTTTTTTAAAGTTCTCTTTCACTCAAGTATTTTTGAAAATCAGCATTTTGGGAGATACAGACTATGTTGGTTAGTTTAAAAGTAAATGATGTGGAAAAGCTGAAACCAATCCTCAATCCACTAACAGAAACCACTGTACTGTTCTGAGGAAAAAAAGATGTACATGAGAAGAATAGGGCAATATTATATTTGCATATCTATGTCTACCTATACATATATCTATATACCTTAGATAAATGAAGGCCAAAATACAGTCACATTTCTACATCTCTCAGAGAGTAAATATATGCTTTTGCAAGTTTGAATTTTTATGACAATAAAATGTCTACTTTTAGGAAATCGGGGGGTAAGTGTGGTTAACTGGGACATTAGGATGAAAACACTTCGGTTTGAGTTATTGCAAAAAATAATTTGGAGCAGGTAACTTGGGATGTAGAGGATCCAGCTTATCACTTTACTTTTTATTTAAGTTAATGGGGACATACTTAAAGATTCTTAAATGCTTAAAAACATGTTTAAATATTTTTAAGTTTTTGCTAAGTAGAAAGATGTAGTGCCAAGTAGTTATCTGGGAATTAAGATGATAAAAGACATCAGTAAGAATCTGAAAAATTCTTATAACTAGTTTTTTAAAAACATGTTTCCACACAACAATAAGAAAACATATATGTTGTGTTTGGTAGCATACATCTGGAACCCTAGTATTTGAGAATATTAAGTAAGAGGATCACAAATTTGAGGCAAATCTGGATTTCAGGGTGAGCTACAGTCTAAGGAAAATTAGTGGTTGAGGATGTGGTAAAGTGCTTACTAAAGTATATGTACAAGACAATGAATGCATTTGCTTGATCTTTATCACAGTGAAATTTAACATGTACTAAACAAAACATTGTATTGAGCATTGAACATTATGTTACATGTTATGTTGGTTAGTTGTTTTAGGTAAAATAGGAAAAAGTCTACTTGTATTGTAACTTTCAATTAAAATTTCTCTTCTAATCCAGATAGAAAATGCAGGGGAAAGACTTATCAGTAGAATGGACCAAGTATAAAGCAATATTCATTGAATTGAATTGAATTACTCAGTCAAAGAATATGGCACATTAAAAAAACACAACAAAGGAATATGCTGGAATTTTGAGACAGTGTGAAAAGACTATTTTTTTGGTTTTTCCAGACAGGGTTTCTCTGTGTAGCTTTGGAGCTTATCCTGGCCCTCGCTCTGGAGACCAGGCTGGCCTCCAACTCACAGAGATCTGCCTGCCTCCGCCTCTCGAGTGCTGGGATTAAAGGAGTGCACCAACAACGCCCGGCCGAAAAGACTATTAAAAATATAAAGAAGAAGAATCCCAGATTTATGGCACAGAGATGTTTTTCAACAGGATCCTAGAACACGAATTCCTGAAATGATGAAAAGATATAATTATGCAGATATCAGAAGTATACAGAATACCAAAATAAATAGAACTAGAAATGAAATTCTTTATGGCATATTATAGAAAAGTAGCTGAATAAACAGAACACAGGAAAGCTATTGAAAGCTGTGTAAATCAAATATAAAGGAGACCCATCAGAATAATAGCTGATTCTCAAGGAAAACTTTAAAAGCCACAAGAGTCTGGGCCTATGAAAAATAGGAATAAGAACACAAAAAAGGAAAAAAAAAAAAACATGATACCAATCAACAGACATACACTTTTCTATAATAACTTTATATATTAATGACCTCAATTTATCAATCAAAATGAATGCACTAGTTGAATGGCTTACCAAATAATGGCTTACCAAATAAAACTCATTGTTTTACATTTTTTTTTAAAAAAAAAAAAAAAAAAAAAAAAAAAAAACAACTTAAACAAGAAAATGGATCAGGAAATAAGTAAGTGTTGTCATACTAATATATGTCAAAGTAGGCTTCAAATCACTAATATCTGACAAAGTAGATATTAATATGAAAGCTAAAGAACATTTCATTCTGTTCTAGGGGATAATTTGCAAAGAAGACACTACAATCATAAACATGTCTATATAAAACTCTGGCAGACCTAATTTAACAAAAAGCATACTACTGGACCTTTATTTTAAAATTAAGTTTCTATATTTATATGTCTATGAAACAGTAATTAATAAAAAATCAGTCCATGAATTTGAAAGACAGCAAGGAGGTCTATATGGCAGGGCTTAGAGGGATAAAAGGGAAGGAGAAAATAATGTAATTACATTATCATCTCTAAAAAGAAAAGAAAGTCAGAGAGATCACAAATAAACAACTTAATAAAGCAAGTTATGAGTTTGAAAAAAAAAAAAAACAAGTACAACCAAACACAACTCAGGTACATGGGGAGAGATAAGAAAATAAAATAGAGATGAAGTTAATAAAATACAAAAAAAGAAAAACTACAATAAAAAGTATCATTAAATCTACAAAAATAAAGAGAAGAAAGAAACCTAAAAACAAATGATTGATAATAATGTAAATTGTTGGTTTGAAATCAAGAACAAAACAAACCCAAACCAGATAGACATGAAGAAATAAAAGAGTGGAAATTAATGTAAATATAAATGTATATTCAAAGATGTTCAGTACTTATCCCTAGCTTAGGTGTGAACTTTGGGAGCCCATTCCATATAGAGGAATACTCCCTGAGCCAACACACAGGGGTGGGCCTAGACCTATTCCAAAGGATATATTAGACACTGATGACACCCTATGGAAGGCCTCACCATCCAGGGGGAGCAGAAAGGATATGTGATAGGTAGGGTTTTAGTTGGTTGTGGTGGTAGGGGAGTACAGGTGGGAGAAGGGAACTGGGATTGTCATGTAAAACAATCCTGTTTCTAATTCAAATAAAAAAGTTGAAAAAAATAGAAAAAATAAAAATTCAAGTTTTGTAAATTAAAAAAAATACATTCTGGAGGAAATAGTATGTCTTCAAGAAATGATGCTTTGAAAACTGAATATCTACATGTAGAAGAATGAAATTAGACTCATATCTATCACTCTTCATAATAATCAACACTAAATGTGTCAAAGACTGCAGTGTAAATGAAACTCAAGTTGCTGAAACTGTTAGAAGACAACAGGAAACAGACAGAGGAAAGGACTTTCATATTAGGGTTACATTAATTCAGGAATTAAGGCCAACAGTTTACAAACGGGAACAGCATGAACATAAGCAAACATATTTCTGGGTTCTATTTGCAATAATTAGGAAATAGAAACAAAATAAAATGATAAAAAGGTCCATTAAGGGAGGAAGGGAGGGAGAAGGGAACTGGGATTGTCATGTAATTCAATCTTGTTTGTAATTCAAATAAAAAAAGTCCATTAAAATTCCATTTAGTTTGGTTTTGGTTAACTACTCCTGGGAAGGGAACCTGTTGTGAAATCTGGTTGATATACGCAGGGAGATTCCATTGGAGAAAACTGTTTTTCTTTTTGTCAGTGGGCATCAATTTTCATTAGATAGGTGATATTGATGATAGCCTTTCTCCTCTAGCAGCATGCAGAGTATATCCAGTACCATGAATACTAACCAGTTAGTTTGGAACTTCCAGTTATTCATTACCTCGATTTCCCTGTGTTTTATGGGAAGTAAGTGTTTTCTTCAGAAATAGGGTCTTACCATCAGATTGTGGAAAGTAATGAAGACCTTTAACTATAGCCTGTGATGTCTGGAGCTTTTCATGTGGTACCTTTGGCCAATGATTCAACAAAATGTAACTCATTCTTGGCACTGGAGGTTTTACTTGGCATCATAAAATGTTGGGACATTGTCTCCACTATCATTTGGTGACTCTTTTTAGATTCGTTTCATAGATGTACATATTTTAAGAAGTTTCAGAAAGAGAGAGAGAGAGAGAGAGAGAGAGAGAGAGAGATGGAGGGAGAGAGAATCAGTAGCTGAGTGAGTAGCCTGAAAACATCAACAGCAGAAGCTTCTAGAAAGTGTCTCAAGAAGTGCCTCTGGGAAAGAGAACCTGCATCCCAGACAACATCCAGTGCCATTTTCTGTACAAAATACCCAGCAACATCCAGTGACCACTGAAGCCTTAGACCCACATGAACATAGAGGAGCAATCACCAGAGTAGTGGCCCCACCTACGCCTGGAAGAACAACCTCACGGAAATTGAACAATGCTCAACTGAGTCACCACTGGGTCAAGGAAGAATAAAGAAAGAAATTAAAGAATTCCTAAAATTCAATGAAAATGGCCACACAACATACTCAAACTTATGGTACACAATGAAAGCACTGTTAAGAGGAAAGTTCAAAGCACTAAATGCTGGAGAAAGCCCACACTAGGGAAATAACAGAACAAGTGATAGCTCTACAACTAAAAGAAGCAAAATCACCCAGGAGGGGTAGACAGCTGCAGACAATCAATTTGAATGCTTAATCAATAAAATAGAAACAAAGAAAACAATATAAAGAATCAATGAAACAAAGTGTAGTTTCAATGTTCTGGTTGCTTCCTTCAATACAAATACACTTGCCTGACCTGTCTGCAAGTCAGTTGACCCTCCTCACTTCTGTTTTTTGTAATCAGCTGTGTTTTACTTCCAAGTACACATAAAGAAACTGATCCAACACCTTAACATTTTATTTTATTTTTTAATTTCTCCACTTTTCCACTACACTTTCATCAGTATGGTATGGTTTTAAATTTTTATGCTTTTATTTTCTCCTGTATATTTTCACCTAAAAAGTTTCATACATTTTTCTACTATAATGTTCTGTTTTCTTTTGGCACCTAATTTTTCTCCTTTACTCTACTACTCTCTATATTTAATAATATTGTGGATTTACCTTATTGATTTTTAATATACTCATGCTTCTAATTTATTTCCTTTCTTGTATTGATCTAGTTTTAAGTATTTATATTATTAAGAAACAATTTTTTGAAGACCCCCGTATGGAAGACTTCACCCTACCTTGGGAGCAGAAAGGGTATGGGATAGGTAGGGTGTTAGTTGCAGGGGCAGGGGCCGGGTTGGGGGGGACGGGACCTGGGATTGACATGTAAAATAATTTTCTTTCTAATTAAAATAAAATGAACATTAATCGTGAATAAAATTTCCCCTGTATTTTAATTTTTCCTATTCTCATTCATTAAATTTTCTCCACTCATCTTCTTTCTCCTTTCTTTTGTTTAGCCTTGTTTCTCTTCTTTTTTCCTCCTTTACTAAACTCATAGATTTATCATTTCCTTACTTACCTTAAATTATTTTGAATTTCCTAGCATATTTCTCAGTATTCATTTTTTTTAATTTTCAGCTTTGTGGTCATTGTTATGTTTTAGTTTGATGGTGTTGTTTCATTGTAGTTGATTTTCTT